ACTGCAAACGGAGGAGAGTGCGACGATCTGCTCCCCATGAATGATGCGCAAGAACTTTAAGGAGATTCAGCCGACCGTGGCAAGTTGCCTTTAAAGAAGAAATGTAAGGTCTCCATGTCAACCGGCGATCAAAGAGCAGGCCAAAAACGTGACCGTATCACATTCCGGAATACGTGAACCGTGTATCTGGGACAAGCGGACGTCTAGTGAAGGTAATGAATCTGGTTTTCGTACTAGAAAATTTAATGCCATGAGAAGTGGTCCAATGGGAAACTCGGTCAATCACATCCTGAAAGAACGCTGCTACTAGGTGACAGTCAGCGCCTGAGTAAGCTATAGCAAAATCATCCACATAAAGTGACGACCAAATATGCGAAGAAAGAACGGAAGGTAGGTTATTTATAGCTAAGAGAAAAAGGGTAGTGCTAAGGACACAACCTTGTAGGACTCCCTCATCTTGTACAAAGTCTGAGGAAAGCGAGGCACCAACATGGACTTGAGAATGTGGTAGGAGAAGCTACAGAACAGACTTGGTCGCCATAATCCAGCTTGGACAAGACTAGGGTGGACTGCAAATGTAGGAGAGTCCGACGATCTGCTCCCCATAAATGATGCGCAAGAATTTTAAGGAGGTTCAGCCGACCATGGCAAGCTTCCTTCAAAGAGGAAATGTGAGGTTTCCATGTCAACCGGCGATCGAAGAGAAGGCCATGAAACTTGACCATATCACATTCTGGAATACGTGAGCCGTGTAAATACAATGGAATATCTGGAAAAAGAGGATGTCTAGTAAAGGTTTTTGTACTAGAAAATTTAAATCAACGAGAAGTGGCCCAATGGGAAACTCAGGCAATCGCATCTTGAAGAGAGGCCGCTACCAGGCGACAGTCAGCGCCTGCTTAAAACTATAGCGAAGTCATCCACATAAAGTGACGACCAAATATGCGAAGAAAGAACAGAAGGTAGGTCATTTATAGCTAAGAGAAAAAGGGTAGTGCTAAGGACACAACCTTGTGGGACTCCCTCATCTTGTACAAAGTCTGAGGAAAACGAGGCACCAACATGGACCTGAGAATGTCTGTCGGATAAGAAAGCAGCAAGGAAGTTTGGTAGATGTTATACCTCCAAGTGGTGTCAAATACCTTCTCTAGATCAAAAAAGACTGCTAGGACGGAGTGTTTGTTAGCAAGGGCATTTCGAATATACGTACCTAAGTGGAGCAGGGGGTCTAAAGTAGAGTGGCCCTTGCTAAAGCCATATTGACGAGGGGAAAAACTATAGTGAGTCTCCAAGAACCACATCAGATGTCTATTTACCAATTGAGACACTTATGGAACATATGGGAATGTTTATTGAAGAAACGTTTCGCCACACAGTGGCTTCATCAGTTCAATACAAAGTAGAAATGGGTAAGGAGCGGAGGAGTTTGAGGTGTTCAGTCCCTCTGCCTGGAATCGATGTGTTCAGTCCATCACTCTTGTAGGAAGTACAGCATAAAGCCAGAGAGGTGGCTTATATACTGCAGTCACGTGAGGCGAAGCAGGAGGAGGCGGGATCACAGTGGAACCTGCCACTAGTGTAAGTAGGTCATCGTCCAAAGGTTGGACAAGCGTTGAAGTCTTTGTACAAAGATCCCATGATGTTGCAGTGTCTGACATCTGTCAGACACTTTGTATTGGACTGATGAAGCCACTGTGTGGTGAAAAGTTTCTTCAGTAAAGATTCCCATATTTTGCATAAGTGTCTCATTTCTTCAACTTGTCGGTTTTCAAAACCATTCATCACATATTTACCAAACGTTCCATCACCTTGCAGACTATACTGGTCTAGGCAGTGGGACGATAGTGAGAGGTATCATGCCCCGAGTTGCCAGGATAATAATAATAATATCTTTATTTACTACAAGTACATGTACAAGGTATACAGTCCTAGCTGACAACAATGACATACTACTATATAGAAAGTCCCTTGTTATGCTCCGCATTTCGGGCAAATTAGGTCAGTGTCCCAGGATGCGACCCACACCAGTCGACTAACACCCAGGTACCCATTTTACTGATGGGGAACATAGACAACAGGTGGAAAGAAACGCGTCCAATGTTTCTACTCTGGCTGGGAATCGAACCCAGACCCTCGCCGTGTGAAGCGAGAGCGTTAGCCACCAGGCCACCAGAGCCCTTTGCGAAACGGTGGTACAATAGCGGTTCTCAATTGTTGAGGGAGAACCCCTCACTCCCAAATAAGATTGAAAAGGCATAAAAGAACAGGAAGGACCGTCGATTGGAGATGTTGTAGCATACTGATATGGATATCATCAGGTCCTGTTGCTGATGGCCGGCAAACGGAAAGTGTGGACTCTAATTCTAGGAGAGTAAAAGGTACGTTATACGGCTCCATTCCGTCAGAGGAGAAATCTAAGGGCAATTGCTCTTTGGCAGGCTTAGTCACAAGAAATAAGGGACAAAGGTGAAGCCCCTGGGAGATACGGACAAGATAGTTCCCGATTTTCGTGCCAACTTCTAGAGGTTCTGCGACATTAACTCCAACAACCGCACAATGGGAGCTGGGTCCGGAGTGTACTTGCCACACAACTTCCACACCTTTTTCCAAATCGCACACATAGGGGAAGACGAGGTACTGGTAGACACGTAGTCTCGTCAACAAGTGTATTTAGCGTCGCGTATGATGCGGCGAGCAACTGCCCTTGCCCACTTAAAATCCAACAGACACTCTGAAATACGATTATATAGATAATGGCCTTACACCGCATGTTTCAAATGCACCGCATGGGCGCATGCAGGAGACCACCAAGATACACATGTCTGAGAATGCCTCCCTGAGGTTTGGGGGAGAGAATGTGCTTCTGCAGTTAAAACTAAGGTCGAAAATTGGTGTGACCAGTTCATCAATAGAGAACGAAAGGAGGTCCTCACAATAGGTGGTAAGATGAGAGTATAAGTCCCAAGCTGCTCGTGCAAATTGTCAACAAGGGCTATGAAGCAGTCGGGCATATATAGTAGAAGTAAGAAGAATAGGAAAGTGATCACTGTCATGCAAATCTGGAAGAATAGACCAAGCAAAATCAAGTGCAATTGACGAGGAACAGATAGAAAGATCAATGCAGGAGAGAGACTGAGTGCGAGAGTCAAAATGGGTAGAAGTACCTGTATTTAAAACATGAAGAGGATGAGAAGCGAGAAGAGTCTCCAACTGATCACCACAAGAGTCACAGTGGGACCCTCCCCACAGGTGAAGGTGAGAGTTAAAATCACCCAACAACAAGATAGGCAGCTGTAGAGAAGAAATTAAAAATGCGATATCTGAGATACAGAATGCACGGGAGGGAGAAATATATAGAAAACAAACTGTATACCATTTGTGTAAATAAATATGAGCTGCAGTATAATGAAGCAGAGAACGAACAAAAACTTGTTGATACAGTATATCAACATGCACAAAAAGCCCGCTTTCATTAAATGATTCATCAGGAAAAGCATCGGAAAACTGTAACAGCACATAGCCCAAGGTGGTGCGAATGATAGCATAACGAATTTTGGGCTCTTGTAACCCAACTGGGAGAACAATACTTGGAGTTGCCCCCGAGGCCACGAATATTCCCTTGTAAAAAAGACATTATGTACAGAAATAAAAATGGCAACAATAAGAAACGATAAAACCTATGGGCTTTGAGGATCAGTAAAGTCAACGTGTGGGGGGTAACGGTAAGTGTGTAAGCAAGGAGGAATCAGAATGCTGTGGAGGAAAAGATTGTTGAGAGGGTTGTGAAAAAGAAGGGGCAGAAGGAGGCGCGTTGGTGTCCATCGAGGGTGTCGTCTCCGCAACATAGCTGGAGACAGCATCTAACGTGTAGATGAATGGTTCAGAGAACCGACATGTTGATAAATTAGACACATATACAACTCTTGGGAATCTTCATTGAGGAAACGTTTCGCCACACAGTGGCTTCATCAGTCCATAAGAAGGAGAAACTTGAAGAACAGGAGGAGAATGAGGTAATCAGTCCCTCAACCTTGAGTCGATGTGTTCAGTCCATCAATCTTGAACAGAATACGGCATATCAGCGGAGAAGCAGCTTATAAACCGTATGGCAGGAGAGGTGCAGCAGTCATAGGTCGTGTCACATTTGTTCAATGTGGAAGTAGGTCGTGCCCAAGAATTAGGCAAGCGAAGAATACCTAAGTAATAAGATCCCAAGAAGTTGCAGTGTCTGACAGATTTGTAGATGAATGGTTCAGAGAACCGACATGTTGATAAATTAGACACATATACAACTCTTGGGAATCTTCATTGCAATCTTCGCTTGCCTAATTCTTGGGCACGACCTACTTCCACATTGAACAAATGTGACACGACCTATGACTGCTGCACCTCTCCTGCCATACGGTTTATAAGCTGCTTCTCCGCTGATATGCCGTATTCTATTCAAGATTGATGGACTGAACACATCGACTCAAGGTTGAGGGACTGATTACCTCATTCTCCTCCTGTTCTTCAAGTTTCTCCTTCGTATGGACTGATGAAGCCACTGTGTGGCGAAACGTTTCCTCAATGAAGATTCCCAAGAGTTGTATATGTGTCTAATTTATCAACATGTCGGTTCTCTGAACCATTCATCTACAAATCTGTCAGACACTGCAACTTCTTGGGATCTTAATACTTAGGTATTCTTCGCTTGCCTAATTCTTGGGCACGACCTACTTCCACATTGAACAAATGTGACACGACCTATGACTGCTGCACCTCTCCTGCCATACGGTTTATAAGCTGCTTCTCCGCTGATATGCCGTATTCTATTCAAGATTGATGGACTGAACACATCGACTCAAGGTTGAGGGACTGATTACCTCATTCTCCTCCTGTTCTTCAAGTTTCTCCTTCGTATGGATTGATGAAGCCACTGTGTGGCGAAACGTTTCCTCAATGAAGATTCCCAAGAGTTGTATATGTGTCTAATTTATCAGCATCTAACGTCTCGGCAGGAGAGGTAGAGCAAGTAGAGGTCAGACTAACTATGGAGGCAACCAAAGAGGTCTGAGGAGGGTGGGGAGTATGAACCTGGAGAGATATGTTGGTGTGGGCAGAAGAGTCCTACATTGGGTTGGAAGGTAACTATGGAAGAAGATGGGGTGGGGGAAACAGGAGAAGAGGAGACTACACGAGGGGGGGTGAACCTCTACCTTGGTGTGAGAGTTGGAAAGGGGATGAGAACTAGGCCCTGAGGTAGAAGATAAATTCAACTTTACAGGTGATAGACGCGAAGAAAGTGTAGGTCTGCGAAGTCTGTAGACTGAGAAGTGAGTGAGCAAGGTGAGGAAGTAGAAGGAGGAAGAGGTGCGGAGGTTAAGAGTTTCAGAGGATAAAACAGCAAAAGAATTTGAAACAGGGGTGACCCCGGAAGACATGGTCGCAAAGGGATTGGGAGGTGGGAGGGGCATCGAGGTTGGAGGCTCCAGGCTACTCGAGCATAAGGGACACAAGGGACACGAGGAAGTTTTCCCTGAAGGCAGAGCTGAAAGACAGCCATAGTGTAAGTAAGGCCCTCACACTCCTTAAGATACTGGATCTCTCGTTCATTACAATAGACTTGACAAAGGCATGAAAAAGAAGAATGACATTCATTGCAACTGAGACAAGAGGGGGAAGACTACAAGATGTATTAGAATGATCTGCTGCACCGCAGACTGGACATTCCACCGCGGATCTGCAGTATTTAGCAGGGTGTCCGAAATGCCAGCAATTATGACATGGTTGGGGAGTGGGGACTACTTTATGGACCTCTAGACGATGGCCTGCAATGTAAACAGAGGACGGAAGTTGATGGCACTTGAAGGTTAAGCAGGTGATGTTACTAGAAAAGCGCCTCTGCCCGCTAGCAGGCAGGATATATGCATCTACCTTAAGAACAGGAAGGTCCTAAAGGGTTAATTGTTCTAAAATATCGCCGTAAGACAAAAAATCACTCTGTACAATGGTATGTGATAAGACCACAGTACCACTGTAAGAATTGAGAGTATCGTGTTTACAAACGGTGACTGGTATGTTATCTTTCTAAAATATCACCACAAGACAAAAAATCACTCTGTGCAATGGTATGTGGTAAGACCACAGTACCACTGCAAGAATTGAGAGTATCGTGTTTACAAACGGTGACTGGTATGTTATCTATGGAAGTGATATGGGAGAGAGCACTAGCTTCTTCTGAATTTCTGAACTGTTATGACATGTGCACCACTTCGAAGAGTGTGGAAGGATATATTTTGGCCAGTGTGCTGTAAAAGAGCTTTACCAATTCCATGACCAGAAAGATAATCAGTTTGAGACGTTGTTTGTAAGGAAAAGAATTTAGTCCATTGCATACTTGTAAACCCGGTACACAAAGGAAGTGAGTGTCGTGTAGGTTGTTTTTTTAACAGACATCAAAGAACTGTCGTCAGTAGGTTGTCTTGAATGTTTAGGAATAGTACTACAGGCGGTCTGACCTGAGGGAGGTGTGCGATCCAAAAACCATTATACCATATTTGGGGAAGCCAGACGCATTGTTAAAGGCATGCAAGAAGCAGTGGCATGAGCAGAAATGGGTGGCGCCTCAGTACTTGGAGCAAGTGATGGAGCGTCACTGGCCAAAGGTACAGGGGTATGAGAAGAGTCTTGAAAATGGTCCAATAATGAAGCGTGTCAGAACAGGGTGTGGGATCACAATGGGGCCTGGGAGAAAGAAGGGTTTCACTGAGCTAAGACTCCATAATAAAGGTGCCTCTTCTGTGTTATCTCCTTTCTTGTTATTTTAGGAAAAAAAGAGAGAAGGAAAGAAAAAAAAAGAGGGACAGTGGAGGACAGTCACTAGGAGGCATGGAAGGGCCAGAAGCTCATCCCCTCATCTGAGAGGGCCTCGAGCCCACTGGCAGTGAAGATGCAGTGTGGAACCCGTGCCATACTCTACCCTTCACGCCAGTAAACCAGCACTCAGGAATAGCAGCCTCACATCTACCAATCTCGGCAGACAAAAGAAAGGGTGGTTGGAAATCCTCCACAAAGCATACCTCTTTTGGCTGCCACCTCCCAGAAGCGACAGGCTGCCACCTCCAAGAACTGACAGGTTGCCACCTCCCAGAACCAAAGGCTGCCACCTCCCAGAACTGACAGGCTGCCACCTCCCAGAAACCGACAGGCTGCCACCTCCCAGAACTGACAGGCAGCTTCGGGAGATACACCCATTATCTGAAGGGCACCCGCCCACTTCTTGGAAATCTGGGAAGGAAGTAGGGCACCTTCAGACAATTCAGATTCCACGGCAACACCACACCACCCCCGAGGGACCTCCCAAAGTGGGATGAACCCCCAGCATGCCTCCCCTACCTAGAAACCGTAATGACAGAGGGGAGGACCCCAAGGCCAGAAATGGGATGGGAAAAGAGGGAGAGGGTTGGGAGGGGGGAGGAAAGGGGAAAAAAGGTTAATAAGGAGGATGGGATAGGGAAGGGAGGACTGGGAGTTATTATGTTCGGGCTGAGGAAGAAGACCAAAATGTCCTATTCCTCAGACCAATAACCTCTTTGCCACCACAATGAGCCACCCTTGAAGAGGTGGTAGTGTGTAGTTGAGTGTATTAGTGTATTTTTGAGTGTTGTAATGTGTGGTTGAGTGTAGTGTTTATTTCAATGTGGTAGGGTGTAGGTATGCGTTAATGCTTAGTTGAGTGTGATGGTACGTAGCTGCGTGTTGTATTTCGTGAGTGAGTTTGGAAGTGTTTGGTTGAATCTGGTAGTGTTTGATTGAGTTTAGTAGTGTTTGGTTAAGTTTGGTAGTGTTTGGTTGAGTTTGATAGTGTTTGGTAAAGTTTGGTAGTGTTTGGTTAAGTTTGGTAGTGTTTGGCTGAGTGTGGTGGTGTTGTGTTGAGTGTGGTAGTGCTTGGTTGACTGTGGTAGTGTTTCTTTGAGTGTGGTAGTGTTTGGTTGAGCGTGGTAGTGTTTGGTTAAGTGTGGTAGTGTTTGCTTAAGTGTGGTAGTGTTTGGCTGAGCGTGGTAATGTTTGGTTAAGTGTGGTAGTGTTTGCTTAAGTGTGGTAGTGTTTGGCTGAGCGTGGTAGTGTTTGGTTAAGTGTGGTAGTGTTTGCTTAAGTGTGGTAGTGTTTGGCTGAGTGTGGTAGTGTTTGGTTAAGTGTGGTAGTGTTTGGGTAAGTGTGGTTGAGTTTGGTTGAGTGTCGCAGTGTTTGGTTGAGTGTGGTAGTGTTTGGTTGAGTGTGGTAGTGTTTGGTTGAGTGTGGTAGTGTTTGGTTGAGTGTGGTAGTGTTTGGTTGAGTGTGATAGTATTTGGCTGAGTTTGTAGTGTTTGGTTGAGTGTGGCAATGTTTGGATAAGTGTGGTAGTGTTTGGCTGAGCGTGGTGGTTTTTGGTTGAGTGTGTGGTAGTGTTTGGTTGAGTGTGGTAGTGTTTGGTTGAGTGTGGTAGTGTTTGGTTGAGTGTGGTAGTGTTTGGTTGAGTGTGGTAGTGTTTGGCTGAATTGGTAGTGTTTTTGTTGAGCGTAATAGTGTTTGGTTGAGGGGTGGTAGTGTTTGGTTGAGTGTGGTAGTGTTTGGTTGAGTGTGGTAGTGTTTTTGTTGAGTGGTAGTGTCTTGTTAAGTGCGTTTGTTTGGTTAAGTGTGGCAGTGTTTCATTGAATGTGGTAGTGTTTGGTTGAGTGGTGGTAGTGTCTGGTTGAGTGTGGTAGTGTTTGGTTGAGGGGTGGTAGTGTTTGGTTGAGTGTGGTAGTGTTTCGTTGAGTGTGGTAGTGTTTGGTTGAAATGTGGTAGTGTTTGGTTGAGTGAGATAGTGTTTTGGTTGAGTGTGTAGTGTTTTGGGTGAGTGTGGTAGTGTTTGGTTGAGTGTGGTAGTGTTTGGTTGAGTGTGGTAGTGTTTGGTTGAGTGTGGTAGTGTTTGGTTGAGTGTGGTATGTTTTGGGTTTAGTTTGTAGTGTTTGGTTGAGTGTGGTAGTTTTGGTTGAGTGTGGTTGTGCTTGGTTTGAGTGTGGTAGTGTTTCGTTGATTGTTGTAGTGTTTGGTTGAGTGTGGTAGTGTTTGGTTGATTGGTTGTAGAGTTTGGTTGAATGTGGTAGTGTTTTGCGTGATGTTGATAGTGTTTTTGGGTTGATTGTGGTAGGTTTGGTTGAGGTGCAGTTTTTTGGTTGAGTGAGATAGTGTTTTGGTTGATTGTGGTATGTTTTGGGGCTGTTTGATAATGTTTGGTTGAGTGTGGGTAGTGCTTTGGTTATATGTGGTAGTGCTTTGGGTTGAGTTGTGGTAAGTGTATGGCTGTGAGTGTGGACGTAGTGTTTGGTTGAGATTGCGTAGTGTTTTGGTTGATGTATAGTGTTTGGTTGAGTGTGGTAAAGTGTTTGGGTTGAGTGGGTAGTGGTTTGTGAGAGTAGTGTGGTTGCTTGGTTGAGTGTTTGTAGTGTTTTTGCGGTTGAGTTGTGGTAGTTGTTTGGTTGAGTGTGGTATTGTTTTGGTTGCGTGTGATGTGTGTTTGGTTGTTGTGGTAGTGTTTGGTTGATGATCAGTGGTAAGTGTTTGGTTGAGTGTGTTAGTGTTTGGTGAGTGTGAGTGTTTGGTTGATTGTGTATTCGGTAGTGTTTGGTGAGTGTGATAGTGTTTGGAGTCGGTGTGGTAGTGTTTTGGTTAAGTGTGGTAGTGTTTGGAGTGAGTGTGGTAGTGTTTGGTTGAGTGTGGAGTGTTTGGTTGAGTGGTGGTAGTGTTTGTTGAGTGTGGGTAGTGTTTTGTTGAGTGTGGTAGTGTTTGGGTTGAGTGTGTAGTGTTTGGTTGAGTGTGCAGTGTTTGTAGAGTTGTGGTAATGTTTGGTTGAGTGTGGTAGTGTTTGGTTGAGTGTGGTAGTGTTTTGGTAAAAGAGTGTAGTTACCTATAAAGGAAGCTAGTGTACTAGAAATGTGTGAAGAGTTAGGACGAGAAATGTTAAAACCTGATGACTAAAATTAATCTATATATACTATAAATTAATCTAGATTACTATGGTAATCTAAATCTATATATACTATAAATTAGATT